CTTCTAAAAGGTATTGAGGCGAAAGAATGATCATGATGAGGTTAAGCGCTGCAAGGCAGGGAATCTTTGGACTAATGGAGCTAGGGTCACCAATGGACTGGGTGGTACCTTTATAGATTTAGACAAAGGTACCCCCTGGTGGCTCAGATGGTAAAGGAACCACCTGCAATGCAGGAGACCCAGGTTTGATCCCTGTGTCAGCAAGATCCCCTGGAGAAGGGAATGGCAACCCACTCCAGTATTCTTGCCTGGAGAATTCTTGCATGAACAGAGGAGCCTGCTGGGCTACAGTCCATGGGGTCGCAAAGAGTTGGACATGACTGAGTGACTAACACTTTTACTTTTACCCCTTTCCTAAGGCACTTTTCTTTCATCTGCTGAAAGATGGTTGTAATAAATATACAGATCTATAGTGACCAGTGTAAATAGTTCCCCCTTAGAGTTATGCACTGTCTGACTTGCACCACTGTCCATGGCAGGCCTGGCTTAGCGCTAGGGAGGTATGGGGTCAGAGAAACTATTATAGAGGAGGTGACCCTCAGGGTGACATTTCAAGAATCAACTAGAATATATACCCCAAAGAATTGAAAACAGGTGCTCAAACAAAACATTGTGCTTGAATATTCACAGCAGCACTGTTCACAATAGCCAAAAGCCAGAAACAACCCAAACGCCCATCAATGGATGAGTAGAACCACAAAATGAGATCTGCCCACAATGAAGGACTACTCAGCCATAAAAAGGAATGAAGTTCAGATACATGTTACAATAGGGATGAGCCTCAGAAACATCATGCTAAATGAGAGAAACCAGACACAAAAGACCACATGTGTTTGTGTTAAATGTCCAGAATAGGTAAATCCATAGAAACAGAGAACAGATCAGTGGTTGCCAGGGGTTAATGGGAGCAGGGGATGGAGAGTGACTGCTTAATGGGTGTGGGGTTTTATTGGGGGTTGGTGGGAATGTTTGGGAACTAGACAGAGGTGTGAGTTGCACGACTTTGTCAAGGTACTACCTACAACTACCTTGTGTTGTTCGCTTCTACATGGTTTAATTTATGTTTATGTGATTTCCACCTCATTGGGGTTAAAAAAAAGAGAGAGAATGGATAAGGCAGGTACAAAAGCAATACAGATGGTGCTCTGGGAAGAAGAAACAGCATGTGCAAAGCTTGGGTTGGAAGACTCCTTTGCACATTCTTAGAACTCTGCTCTCTTGTGTCAGACATGAGCTCAGGCTCAGGGAAGGAATCAGCTAGAAAGCCCGAGGAAGTTGGTCTCAGGTCAGCAAGCAATACACACACCGAGCCCTCCTGCCCCTAACTAACCACGACACAGTTAGCTTCCCACGCTTGGAGCGGTGTGTTTCCGATGGGAATGTCTCAGGCTGGAGGTCCCCTGGCAGCGCCCAGCATGGAGCTGCCCTGGCAGCTGCCAAGCCTTCCCCTTGGAGCCACTTCCTCTCCTGGGGACTTGGAGGAAAAGCCTCCAGACAGGCATGGACCCTGTCAATCTCTTGTCTTCTGGGCTCAGGTTTCCCAAGCCTGCTGGAAAGGCCACCTCTGTCCTGAAAGCAGATGGGTGGAGACAGTCCATCATCTGTCCACCTCAAAATCACTCCTTTCTGGCCTTTTGCTTGACTGATGTTGCCGCAGTGACCAATTTAAGCATTTGTCCTTGGGCACACATGTGCGGGTTTCTGATATGGCTGCTTCTTGAAATTTGTGGATCAGCCCAAGGTCAGAGGCAGAGGCAGGAGGCAGAGCATGTTGGCCTGATGAGAATCAGTGCAGCTGGACCAGAAATGGGACTTTGTGGTGATGGAAAGTTCTCATGCCAAAGGCTGAGCTGCCTCTTTCCTGTGGCCCTTCTCCCTGCAAGGACCTCCCGTTGGTCCTCAGCTCAGAGGCCAAACTCGCCTGAGTGGAACCACCCTGGACCCTCTAAAGATAGCCCCTACAGGCAACTGTGGCCCATGAAGCCTTTTTCATTGCAGCACTTGGCCTCTCTAGCCACAGCATGCAGGCTGAGTTGCCCCGTGACATGGGGGAATCTTAGTTCCCCAACCAGGGATCAAATCCAAGTCACCTGCATTGGGAGGCAGGTTCTTAACCACTGGACCACCAGGGAAGTCACTGGTCTCAATTTCTTGCACGTGTGTTGAACTTTCCCATCAAGAAGCTCAAGTCTTCAGGTTTGGGGTTGGCTTTTTTCAGTGCTCGCCAGACTATACCTTCCCTGTGTCAGGGGCTTAGGGATTGGGCAATTGACCTCAGTTTCCTAGAAACTGAGGGAAGTGAGGTCAAGATCTGGATGTTTCTGCTTATGAGGAATTCATAATTCTGTGGGGGCAGAGACACAAGGAACAAAAGTGCCAGCCTGGAACAGGGCACTCAGGCAACATAGGGGCTGTGGAAGTGGAGGCGTCTCTTGGTGATGGGTAGGAACCAGTGACAGCTCTAGGATTCCTCTCAAGGGGGGCTTGGAGGCAGCAGTCAGATTATTTGATGGAGACCATGGACCAACAGACTGGTTTCAAATAGGAAAAGGAGTACGTCAAGGCTGTATATTGTCACCCTGCTTATTTAACTTCTATGCAGAGTACATCATGAGAAACTCTGGGCTGGAAGAGGCACAAGCTGGAATAAGATTGCTGGGAGAAATATCAATAATCTCAGATATGCAGATGACACCACCCTTATGGCAGAAAATGAAGAGGAACTAAAAAGCCTCTTGATGAAAGTGAAAGAGGAGAGTGAAAAAGTTGTCTTAAAGCTCAACATTCAGAAAACTAAGATCATGGCATCTGGTCCCATCACTTCATGGCAAATAGATGGGGAAACAGTGGAAGCAGTGTCAGACTTTATTTTTTGGGGCTCCAAAATCACNGAAAGAAGAGAAAGACCTGCTAGGCAGCAGGAACGGCATGAGCAAAGGCACAGAATGTGATTGGGGGTTGATCTGGGTGGGGTTGCTGGAAACTGAGAGTGAGGGACATAGAGATGCCGAAGCTGGGGAGGTGGGCAGGGCCAGTCATGGGAGGTCTTGATGTCATGTTCAGGAGTCTGGGCCTCACGTAAGGGCCCTGGGGGACATGGACATGTTTAAAAACAACTTTAGATAAAACTTGCATACCCCAAATTCACCCACTGTAAGTGTAAAATGCAGTGAGTTTTAGTAAATTGAGTTATGTAAGCATCACCACAATCTAGTCTCCAAGCCCCCAGTGATCTCTCACACCTGTTTGCAGTCACCCCACTCCAGCCCTCGGCAACCAGTAATCTACTTCCTATCTTTATGCATTTACCTCTCCTGCACATTTCATGTAAGTGGAATAATACGATATGTATGCAGCCTTCTGTGTCAGACTTTCTTAACACCATGTTTTTGACAGTCATCCACAGTGTAATCTGTATCAGGACTTCATTGTTTTTATGACTGAATAATATTTCATTGGGTGGATAGACCACATCTTATTTATCCGTCCACCAGCAGATAGACATGTGGACTGTTTCCACTTTTTAGTTGGTATGATAACTCCGCTGTGAGCCTTCCTGTGTTAGTCTTATAGGGACACATGTTTCTATTCTCTTGGGTAGATTTCCAGGAGTGGAATAGCTGGGTCATATGATAAATTTATGTTTAACATTTTCAGAGACTTTCAAAGTGGACGAGTGTTGAGGAGCAGAGCGATTGGGTAGCTCAGCGTGTCAGAAAGATGACTCTGAGAAGGGCTCTGGAGGAAGACGTCCCTAGATCCAGGGAGATCTTTGATCAGGAGAGGCTGAGCAATGTGAAGGTGGGGTTGGAGCCAGGAATGAACTTAAGAAAAGCTGCATCACCATTGCCCAGCAGTGGACGTGCTTTTTCAGTTATGGTTAACTGACCAACGGTTGAAGCCTGTCACCTTACCCATGACCCTCATGGGGGATCTCAGCTCCACCTCCTGAGGTCACTTTAAGAGTGAAAGATGATTCGTCACATCTGCTTAATCACGTGTAGTTTCACCATGCCCTCTGCGCCACCAGGGTTCTCTGGTGGTAAGTGACAGTGACCTTATGTTGGAAAGGAATTCCTGGAGGAGTGTTGGGGAACTCACAAATAGGTGGGAAGAGTGGGGAGCCAGCCTCAGAAAATGTCAGAAACTAGGGGCTGCTTGGGCTCTGGGAGGCAGGCAGTGAGGCCCTCTCAGGGCTCTGCCCACCCGCTGTGCTTCTCCATCCTTGACCCAGGTTGGAGTTTTAGCTCAGAGAATCTAATTGCCGCAGCCTGGGAAACATTGTTGTCTCTTGGCTGGGAGACCTTGTGGGTCAGTCCCACCAAGAGAGTACATGGTAATGGGAGTGGGGTGCGTGCGGGGGACGTGTCTCCTTTGTTGTTGTTGTTCTGTCTGCATGTGGGATCAGAGTTCCCTGATCAGGGATCAAACCTACACCCCTTGCATTGAAAGCTCAGAGTCTTAACCACTGGACCACCAGGGAAGTCCCCTGGACGTGTCTCCTTAAGGAACATAGGATACTCTTGCCAGAAGAAGAGGGAAAGCATACTGGATTTTCAAGCCAAAAATGTCCACTGCCAGATAAACTGAGGCTTGGAGAGGTTAAGAATATTCGCCCAAGGCCGCAGAGCTGGGAAGTGGCCAAGAGGAAACCCAGTCTGTCTGGATCCAAAGTCGGTGTTCTGTCTGTGACCTTATCTGTACAGAGTGGGTCTCCTGGGAACCCGCCTCCACTCCGAGTGGGTGGGGCCGGGATGCTCACTGTCTCCTGAATGGGTCAGATTCCAATATCTTTCTGGGGCTGCCTCCAGGGCTTTGTTGCCCTCTTGTCTTTGGTCTTGTCCCCTATGCCCTGGAAAATGAGCTCAGCTGGCCCCTTGTCACCCCCAGAGGGGCCAGGGTATAGGAGCTTAAATGGGAGTCCCGGGCGGCAGCATATCCAGACCCTCAAATCAGAGCTGATTCTAACTCGTGGCTCTTTTTTTTCTTTTTGTTCTCAGATCGGGAGGACCAGTCCATTCTCTGCACGTAAGTAGAGCTGCTTTTTCTTCTGTTTTTCTGAGTAAGATCCAACCTATTAAAGAAAAAGGTCCATGAGAACAGGGCTGTTTGATTTGTTTGATGTTCCATGCACCACCCTATCCCCAGCACAGAGCAGATGGTCATGAAACATTTGTAGTACAAATGCTCTGATGCTGAGGCCAGCACCCCTAAACTGCAGGTGATACCTGGTGCATCTTGTTCTGCTCTGCCCGCCTCTTTAAAACCAGCATTTATTGAGCATTCACTGTGTGCTAGGCCCTGAACTAAATAATTTACAGACAGAATTGCATGTAATTCTGTAATAGCTCTGTGAAAGTAGATGGCATCTCCATTAGTGAGGAAGGCTTGGCTTGTGTTAAACTGTTACCCTAAAATTTCAGAAGTAGCCACATTGTGCTGTATTTAGTGGTCAGTATCATTATTTCTTTGAAGACCTGGATACATAGTCAGAAGATATGAACTCAGTTTAGAATCACTCAGAGAATTTTCAGGATTGAGGAAAATCTCTCCTGGGGTGGGCAGAATACAGGTATTCCTCAGAGAGAGCCTAGGCTTAGTCCAGATTATTGCAATAAAGCAAATATCAGAGTAAAGCAAGTCACGCAAAGTTTTTGGTTTCTCAGTACATATCAAAGTTGTGTTGACACTATACTATAGTCTACTAAGTGTGCAACAGTGTTATATCTAAGAACAACAATGTATACACCTTAATTTAAAAATACCCATTGCTTGGCATATTACTCAGCTATAAAAAGGAATGCATTTGAGTCAGTTCTAATGAGGTGGATGAACCTAGAGCCCATTATATGGAGTAGTGTAAGTAACAGAAAGAAAGAAAGGGAAAGTCAAATATCATATGTTAATGCGTATATATGGAATCTAGAAAGACAGTATTGACGATCCTACTTGCAGGTCAGCAAAGGAGACACTGACATTTTGGACACAGTGAGGGAAGGAGAGGATGGGATGATTTGAGAGAAGAGCACTGAAACATATATATCACCATATATAAAATAGATGGCCAGTGGGAGTTTACTGTGTGAGGCAGGGAGCACAAAGCCAGTGCTCTGTGACAACCTAGCTGGGTGGGATGGGCAGGGAGGTGAGAAAGGGTTCAAGAGAGAAGGGACATATGTATACCTAATGCTGATTCATGTTGATGTATGGCAAAAACCATCACAATATGTAAAGTAACTGTCCTCTAATTAAAAAAAATGCCCATTGCTAAAAAATCTTAGCTATCATCTGAGCCTTCAGGGAGTTGTAATCTTTTTGCAATCGATGAGATGAAAGATCACTGATCACAGATCACCATGACAAATAGAAAAATAAGGAAGCAGTTCGAAATATTATAAGAATCACCAAAAGGTGGCACAAAGATATGGAGTGAACGAACACTGTTGGAGAGATGCTGATGCAAGGTTGCCACAAATATTTAATTTGTGAAAAACATGATATCTGTGAACTGCAATAAAACAATGTGTACTAAAAGTACCTGTAGTGGTCCCTCAAAGATTGCCACCTCCTAATCACCAGCACTCGTGAATGTGTCAGGTGACAAGGCAGAGGAGAATGGAGGTTGCTATGGCATTAAGGTTGCTAATCAGCTGACCTTACAATAGGGGGGAGTCTACAGTATCCAGGCAAGTCCAGGGTAATCACAGGGTCCTTACAAGTGGAAGGGGGAGGAATCTGGGGAGTCAGAGGCAGATGCAATGTGAGAAGAACTTCACCCACCATTGCTTGCATTAAAGGTGGAGGAAGCCAAAAATGAAAACAGCTTCTAGACGCTGGAAAAGGCAAGGAAACAGACTCTCCCCTGGAAAGAAACACAACCCTGCTGACATCTTGGGTATTAGCTCAGTACAATCCATGTCAGACTTCTGCCCTCCAGAACTGCAGGATAATCAGTTTGTGTTGTTTTAAGCCACTGTTTGTGTAATTTGTTAAAGCAGCAATGGGAAACGAATACACCCTCCTTCCTTTGTCCCCCTACACCCACTCCTGTCCTCACTCACTATTCAACAGATTGTATGAGCCAGTTCCACTGGTGATACTTGGCGTATAGGAAAGAATCCAAAATAAACATGACCCCTCTTCTCAAGAGGGAAGACAGCCACTAGAACAATAATTACATTCTTCTCTTTGGTACTGCTTGAATCTGCTGTTTGATTCTGTGAAAGAACTACCTTTTCAGAAACTTAAAAAATTATTGTTGTTCAATCACTCAACTGTGTCCAACTCTTTGCAGCCCCAAGCACTGCAGCACACCAGGTTTCCTTGTCCTTCACTATATCCTAGAGTTCGCTCAAGCTCATGTTCATTGAGTTGGTGATGCTATCCACCTATCTCAACCTCTGCCACCCACTTCTCCTTTTGTCTTCAATCTTTCCCAGCAAATCACTCAAGTAAATGTGTAATTACAAACTTAAAATGACAAAGAATGAGACATGTTTGGAAATAGGAGAATGTGTAAATCAGAGAGATTCTAACTGGGAGAATGGGAAGAGCTTCTTGGAAGAAGTGCTATTTCAGCAGAGACAATGAAGAAAAGAGGGGAAGAGTTTACAGCAAATGCAGAGGCACTGGGGTCAGATAGAGTGTGTTTTATTTTAAAAACTGAGACATCAGTTTGGCCAGAGTGTGTCTCCCAGCAGAAGCCCTCTGTCTGAGAAGAGCCACTATGGGACATCTAGGACTGTGGTTGCAAACCCAAGGGCCAATCAAAGCCAACCAAGTACTGTTAATGTGCGAGAAGGCCTGGATGTAAGACAGTAGGGGATGGTGGGGAGTGTGGTGAACTGTAGAAAATGACCCATCTGAGGGTTGGGGGCGAGTTGCTATCCCTCTTCTGTCCATTGTTTCCAGGAGAGGAAGCAGGTCCAGTGTTGCCAGACTCTTCTACATTGCAACAGAAGCTGGAAATTTAGGTTTTTATGTGAAATATTCAATTTTTAAATATTTGCACCTAATTTACATGAACATACATACACAGAGCATCAGCCAAATAAAATCCATGGGTGGGCTGGCTTTGCCAGTGGGGCCACCTGCTTACAACCTCAATCCCAGAACTTTGGGCCTGGAAAGTTTCTCATAGATGACTGAGCCCTCAGTTCCTGCCATACACACAACACACTGGTTAGTTACAAGAATTGCAAGAAATTTTCCTAGAGCATCAAAATCTGGAATGATTCATATTATTTAATATAAAAGTAGATTCAAGTTGACCTCAGAATGATTCATACTATTTAATATGAAAGTAGATTCAAGTTGACCTCAGTAATAATTGTTGTTGTTCAGTCACCCAGTTATGTCTGAGTCCTTGCGACCCAATGGACTGCAGCATGCCAGGCTTCCCTGTCCGTCACCAACTCCCTGAGCTTGCTCAAACTCACATCCATTGAGTCAGTGTTGTCATCCAACTATCTCATGCTCTGCTACCCCTTTCTCCCCTTGCCCTCAATGTTTCCCAGCATCAGGGTCTTTTCTAATGAGTCGGCTCTTCCCATCAGGTGGTCAAAGTATTGGATCTTCAGCTTCAGCATCAATCCTTCCAATGAATATTCAGGGTTGATTTCCTTTAGGATTGACTGGTTGGACCACCCTGCTGTCCGAGGGACTCTCGAAAGTCTTCTCCAACACCACAGTTCAAAAGCATCAATTCTTTGACACTCAGCCTTGTTTATGGTCCAACTCTCACACCCATACATGACTACTGGAAAAACCACAGCTTTGACTAGATGGACCTTTGTTGGCAAAGTGATGTCTCTGCTTTTTAATACACTGTCTAGGCTTGTCATAGCTTTCTTCCAAGGAAACTGCAGTCACCATCCACAGTGATTGTGGAGCCCAAGAAAATAAAGTTTGTCACTGTTTACATTTTTCTCCCATCTATTTGCTATGAAGTAATGGAACTGGATGCCATGATCTTAGTTTCCTGAAAGTTGAGTTTTAAGCCAGCTTTTTACTCTCCTTTTTCAATTTCCTCAAGAGGCTCTTTAGTTCCTCTTTGCTTTCTGCCACTAGGGTGGTGTCATCTGCATATCTGAGGTTATTGATATTTCTCCCAGCAATCTTGATTCCAGTTTGTGCTTCATCCAGCCCAGCATTTCACATGATGTACTCTGCATACAAGTTAAATAAGCAGGGTGACAATATACATCTTTGACTTACTCTTTTCCCAATTTTGAACCAGTCTGTTGTTCCATGTCCAGTTCTCACTGTTGCTTCTTGACCTGCATACAGGTTTCTCAGGAGGCACATAAGGAGATCAGTATTCCCATCTCTTTGAGAATTTTCCAGTTTGTTGTGATCCACACACTCGAACATTTTATCATAGTCAATGAAGCAGAAGTAGATGTTTTTCTGGAATTCCCTTGCTTTTTTTTATGATCTAGTGGATGTTGGCAATTAGATCTCTGGTTCCTCTGCCTTTTCTAAATCCAGCTTGTACATCTGGAAATTTTTGGTTCACATACTGTTGAAGCCTAGCTTGAAGGATTTTGAGCATTACATTGCTAGCATGTGAAATGAGCACAATTGTGTGGGTAGTTTGCATATTCTTTGGCATTGCCCTTCTTTGGGATTTGAATGAAAACTGATCTTTTCCAGTCCTGTGGCCACTGCTAAGTTTTCCAAATTTGCCGGCATATTGAGTGCAGCACTTTCACAGCATCATCTTTTAGGATTTGAAATAGCTCAGCTGGAATTTCATCACCTCCACTAACTTTGTCCGTAGTGATGCTTCCTGAAGCCCACTTGACTTCACATTCCAGGATGTCACGCTCTAGGTGAATGATCACACCATTGTGGTTATCCAAGTCATTAAGACTTTTTTTTATATAGCTCTTCTGTGTATTCTTGCTACCTCTTCTTAATATCTTCTGCTTCTGTTAGGTCCATACTGTTTCTGTCCTTTATTGTTCCCATATTTGCTTGAAATATTCCCTTGGTCTCTAATTTTTTTTTTTAAGAGATATTTAGTC